GGCCTGGTGTTGGTGGGCACCTGGTGGGGAAGGAGAAGAAACCTTTGCCTGCACTCTCTAGGCTTTGTATCAGGTGGATGCCGGCCATCCCTCTGCGGCACCATACCAGCCCCCACAGCCGGTCACTGGCCCAGTGTGGACTCTGGTGCTTGTCCGAGACGGACTCCCATGGGTGTCCCAAGGGTCAGTCCGCTCAATCTGTAGCGGGAGAGCAGCCAGTGTGGTCAGGATGCCCTGGGCCAGGTCCTTGCCGAGAGCCACCTGCTGAGGGTGGGTGGAAGACAACAGTGACCGTGGCTTTAATTACTGGATCAGTTCACCTGCACAGCTGCAGCTAGGTGCTCGGAACCTGCATCATTTAACCCTCAGGGGGAGAAGTAGTAAGTCCAAGTGGGCAGATTAAGGCTCAGGATGGTAGGTGACTGGCCGGTGGTCACACTACTCACAGGTGGCAGTGCACAGCTTCAGACTGCATGGGAGGAGCGATAGTGACCTTGAGGGCATGACACTGGGGCTGACACCGGCTGCAGGGCATAGGCTCGAGCCTGGGCCTTGCGGGCCTGAAAGGCAGGTAGCGTGCTGCGCTTGGGAGTGCAGCCCGGTCTGGGAATCCAGCTTGGAGACTCCCCCGGCTCCCATTCCTAGCCTGCTCTGGCCTTCCCCTCTCCTGGCCAGGTGACAGCCCCCTTTCTCCTGCCGGTCTGGGGTCATGTTCTGCCTAGCACACATGAGTGGCGCTATAAAGAATAGCTGTGCCCACAGCCTTCGAGCTCTCCGTTGGGCTGATGAAGGTCAAGTCTGCTATGACCACTCATAGTGGGCCCCAGGCCCCAGGGTGCCTGCACCTGATGGGGTTTCCTTCACTGGCTTGAGGCAGTAAGATACAGAGCAACAGGGGTACCCAGGCGGTTCGGTCGGTTAAGAGTCTGACTTTGGCTCAGGTCATAATCTCACGGTTCGTGAGTTCGAGCCCTGTGTCGGGCTCTCTGCTGTCAGCACAGAGCCTACTTTGGATTCTCTGTCCCTCTCTCTCTCTGCCCTTCCCCTCTCTCAAAAATTAAGAAAAAAAAAGAGAGTAACGGCCCCATGGGGGTGTTTCTGTGGGACCTAGAACAAAGCCCGGCATTGGGATGTGGTGTGTTTCCTGGACAGATGGACGGATGGGTGGATACAAACACTGCCCTCCCTGCTGGGACAAAGACCCTGGGGTTGGACAGGCAGGGGCCGGGGAAGGTCTCATGTGGCTGGTGGAAGCAGAAGGAGGACGTCTTCCCAGGGTTCAGCCCCTCTCCCCGGCCGCACCCTCTCCCCCCCGTCCCCGTCACCAAGTTCTCCTCCATGCCAGTCCTCATGTCTGCTCTACACAGCTCTGTGGCAATTGCTCACTGCCCCAGACCTGCTCCCTGGCCGCTCCTGTCACCTGGGCTCCCAGAGCCACAAGGACTTTGGTGGAGGGGGAGGCAAAAGTGAGGATGCGGTCCCCTCCTCTCCTGCAAGCTGGGCACTCACGTGTTGGGGATTTGTTGTCCAGAGTTGAGGGTTCTCCCAAACCCAGAGGGCCAGAAGGGTGGGGCGGGGGCTGAGGAGGCTGTGGTGGGCAAAAGGAAAATGATCCGAGCAGTTGCCGACACCCAGGAAAGCAGGGAGCTGAGCCCGGAGCTGGGTCAGGGCTTGGGGATAGGACCCCATGACAGGACAGAACCAGGCGGCCCGCCCCACCTTGACCTCTGCACCTGACAGTCCAGGAGCGGAGTGAGGCCCTCTCTGGTCCCTGCCTGGTGACTCAGTCACTGCTCTCGGTCCTGGTGCACCTGTTCCTTTGTGGACTCTCACCCCTGCTCAGTGCAGACAGGGGCCGTTCTCACATTTCATCGACACATAAGAGTAACTGATACTCATTCAGCACATCCTCTGTGGTGACCATTATTCCCACTGCCTGAAACCAAAGCCCAAGAGGCTGAATTAACTTGCCAGACATCCGCAGCTCCAGGGAGTATAAATCCAGATGGGCCAAGCCTCCAGCTGCTGGCTTAACTTTTGGGCACACTGCTGCCCTTGCTCTAGGGACAGTGACTAGGAGACCTTTGCAAGGGTCTGGGTTTCGAGAACCTTCCCTGCCTTGCAGACGTTTGTACCTTCTGCTCCTTTGACTGGAGGACCCTTCGCTTGGTGAATTCCTATTGGTCCTCAGGTGATTCTTGTTTCCAGGAAACACTTGGAACACCCCCTCTCTGGGGGCTGGGAGCCCCTTGTGCTCCCTCTGCTTTCCCTGCCCTGGATTGCCAGATATGGGGGTTTACTGCCTCTGTGCCACACTGTGTCCCTGTCTGTGTCCCCTAGCCCCAAGCACAGCAGTTCCCCCAGAGTAGGCACTCAGCAATTCACTAAAGGAACATTTCTGCATTTGGGTAGTGATCAGCAGTAAAATTCTTACATCAAAAGGGACTGCGTGCTTGACTTTGGGGGTTGTGTCTTCCTGTGCAGCCAGGCTTGAGGCATGAGGGTTGAGCAAACAGCTCGGGCTTTCTGGCACTCCCT